TAGGTTTCCTTCACGGGATCATGTCTGATGGCAGAGGATTTGAGGGGTGCAGAACTCTGACAGGCTGCCGAGTGGGTGGAGCGTCCCAGCAGAGCCCTGTAAGAATGGAGTTAGGATTTTCAGGAACTGGGTGGACCAGGTGAGGGGGGGTCTTTTCCCCTTCACAGATGCTCCCCTCATCCTCCTTCTTATCCAGGCTGATCCCTTCCCTTTTTTAATTGTGCTTTAGGTGAAAATTTATAGGGCAAATTGGTTTCTCATTCAAAAATTTATACCCGGATTGTTTTGTGACACTGGCTGCAGACCCCTTAATGTGTCAGCCTCTCCCCCTTTCCAACCCAGGCTCCATTCGTCCATTCTTCCTGTCCCTTTCTGCCTTCTCGTTTTTGCCCATTTGGTCTCGTATACTTGATTGAACTTAGAAGCACATTCCTCACATGTGCTATTGTTTGTTTTATGTTGCTGGGTGCCATCGAGTGGGTTCCGACTCAAAGCGACCGTACAGGACAGAGTAGAACTGCCCCACGGGGTTTCCAAGCAGCGGCTGGTGGATTTGAACTGCCGACCTTTTCATTAGCAGCCAAGCTCTTAACCACTATGCCACCAGGGCTGTTTATAGGCCTGTCTAATCTTTAGCTGAAAGGCAGGCTTCATGAGTGGCTTCAGTTCTGAGTTAGCAGGGTCCAGGGGCCATAGTCTCAGGGTTTCCTTAGTCTTGGTCAGACCAGTAAGTCTGGTCTTTTTTTGTGAATTTAAATTTTGTTCTACATTTTTCTCCCGCTGTGTCTGGGACCATCTATTGTGATCCCTGTCAAAACGGTCAGTGAGGGTAGCCGGGCACCATCTAGTTCTTCTGGGCTCAGGCTGGTAGCGGCTGTGGTTCACGTGGTCCATTACTTCTCCTTGTGTCTTTGGTTTTCTTCATTCTCCTTTGGACAGGATGGGACCAATAGATGTAGCTTAGATGGCCACTCGCAAGCTTTTGTCCCCTTCCCTTTTCTTCCCTAGTCTTGCCCTCCCCCTCTCTTTGCTGTGGCTGACTCTTTCCCATCAACGGCCATAACAGTTTTATCACTTATTACATGAAACTCACAATTTCTTGCAATTACAGAATATCTACATTTAAATTGGTGAATTACGCCTTCTCACTAAAGAGCAAATCTCCAGCGAAGTTTCTTCTTGATTGTATATGATCTTCAAATTGTTTTCCTGTGAGTGAATAGCCCTAAATAAGAGAGAGAGAAAAATCAAAGGCTGTCTATTCCTAAAAATAGAAGTTATTCTTCCACTCTCCTCAAAGCCTGGTTTCTAGAGGTTGGCTACCCACCAAAGAGCTTACACTCAGGCATGCTTATGCCTGTCTAATTAGGGACTCTGCAGAGATCAACTGTCAGCTACAGCTTTAGAGCGATTCCTCCTGACCTAGGCTTTTTTCTTTTTTTAAAGATAAGAGCGATACCTTTGGAGAATTTGATAATAGTAAGTAGTGCCCTTAAAAATGGCTAAATATGTGTTGAGATTATTCCATAAATATTTACAGTAAAAACCTGCAAAAGCCGGAAGGTGGAAACCTGTCAGAGAAGGAAAACGCAAATATTTCCCACTAAAACAGGCGATAGAAAAGTGGTAAGACTACATCCTGTCAAAGGCGGAAAGCTTCCGAGACTCAGAAAAATAAGGCAGGCTAGTCGAGCTCCGGCTGTCAGGTTTCACTGTATTACAAATATGAACAATTAAACAACCTTTTAGAGAAGTAATAAACAGAGTCTGCTTCGAAGATGTTACACCTGCATGTTCTTCCGAAAAGGTTAACGAGGTGAAAACTGCGTAGACTCAGCAGTGAGGCTGTCAGAAGAGAAGCTGCGTAAGCGCTGTTGTATCTAGTATCTAATAAAGCACCACGTGCGCTTTCTCGGCTGGCTCCAGTGGGGAAATGTGACCCCTTACTCTTCATTCCTTAACAGTCTCTATTGACCTGCAGTCACTGATTTGCTCGCTGTCTTTGAGAGACTATTTCAGCCCTTGTTGTTGTCAGCTGCCTTCCAGTTGCCCCGAACTCATGGTGACCCTACGCAAAACTGAACCAAAAGAAATGCTGCCCAGTCCTGCACCATCCCCATGATGGATTTCGGATCAGACTTTTGTGATTCATAGGGTTTTCATTGGCCGATTTTCAGAAGTAGATCACCAGGACTTTCTTCCTAGTCCGTCTTAGTCTGGAAGCTCTGCTGAAACCTGGTCGGCAACAGCAACACGCAAAGCCTCCGCGGATAGCCGGGTGGTGGCTGTGTGGGAGGTCATTGGCCAGGAATGAAACCAGCTCTTTTGCCACTGACACACCAGTGTCCTCTCAATCCTGATCGGGACTTTTAACTCTCGTTTTCCGTCTCTTCTGATCGGTAGATAAGGACGGAACCCACAGAAAAAGTTGCCGATTCCAGGGACACTTCATTTTTCTATTCATGTACTCTACAGGATACCCAATAAAGTACGAGTATAATGTGCTCCACCAAAATACAGTGTTATAAAGAAATAAATAAAGTGATACTTCTCTGGGTCAGAAATTTTCTCATTTCAATTATGTGAAGTCCCACAGAAACTTCACTGATATTTTCTATGCATTTTTTAATCAATAACTATTTTGGGGATGCACTATAAAGTGATTTGGTGTATTACAACAGCTATTTCAGGAGAGAAGATTAGTTTACTGTTTAATCCAGTCACAGAAAGATAATACCAAAGACATAAGATCTTAGATTTCTTTGAATTCATACATATCAGTACTTTATTTTTTTTCCCAACTACTAATGAATAGAATTTCCTTCAGCATGGTTGTGGTGTGATGTAAACACGGACATTCATAAATGCTAAGTGAAACTGTGCCCATTATATATAGTAATTATGTATACAATTCAGATACACTACACTTACCTTAGGCATTTCCATGTGTTGGCCATGAGATGAAGGTGGGGAAGAGAAAATCTCAGCAGCCTTCGATTTTTTTCCGTTTTATCAATCGTAAAACCAGGGGTTTGATCTACCTACCTTCAGGATCTGTTCCCGGATTTAGGAACCACTTTCAAACCACCTACATGAAGTCGTCAGATGGGAACTTGGTGTGCTGCGTGAACTTTCACCTAGAACAATAAAATGTTATGAAAACAAACTAATAAAAACTACACGCTAAGTTTGGAACTGCCACCACAGAAGAAAACACAGAAGCGAAAAATGTGTTAGGGAGAGTGGGTGGAAGGAACCACGCAGCTCCTGGGAGGGGTGGTGAGAATGATTACTTTTAGAATCAGTACCTAGCAGAAGAGTTAAAATTCTCGGAGCAAAAAAACCCAAAAACCCTGTTTCTAACTCTGACGGTCCCTATTTCTTCCTCTCTCCATCGCCCTTCCCTGGCCAGGAGACGCTTCGCACCCCCTTAGTGGTGTATTTCCAATTCCCAAAAAATCCTCTCGGTAAAGTGGGCTTCCTTTAAGGCCCAAACACAGTTGTTTCACAGGTACGGAAAAGTGGGGCTGCCTTCGCGCTGCCCTCAGCCTGTTTACCCGGTCGCAACAAGTTCAAGCAGGAATTTTCCAAGCACGATGCGGGGACATTGGCCTCTGCTCCTGAAGACTTTCCAGTGGCGCGTTTTTGGGGGTGGGCAACTCGCTCCCCACTTGTCCCAGGCAGGTGAGAGTCCCGTCCGCTGCAACCCAGCTTCCCGGGTCTGGCTGTCACCCTCGCCGGGGACAACCGACGGCCTTCTGTCCCCCGCGTGCATCTCAGCGGGCAGTGGGGCCGCTGGGGCCACCAAGTGCCCTGAGTTGCGGCGCCGCGGAGAGGCCGCCCTCGCCCCCCAACCCCGCACGGAGCGCCGCCGGTACCCGGCTCCGGGGTGGGCCCGGGCAGGTGGGCACATGCTCCCCAAGGGCGAGCGAGGGGCGCGCTGGCGCCCCAGAGACCGCCCAGGGCGTAGCCGGGGGAGGCGGCTGGGGGGCGGGCGGGGCGGAGCGGGGGCTGTAGCTTCGTTCTCCTCCTGCCCGGCGTCCTCCCCGCGCTCCTCCTCCCCGCACTCCTCCTCCTCTCCCTCCTCCCCGC